TGTTCGCGGCCGCGCTCGTGCCCGCAGGCGCTGAAATGGCAAGGAAGTTCGCGCACACGTGCGCGCCCGCGCAATTATGCATGCTGGTGGCAAGCTGGCAAGGACAGATTGAGCGGAGCCCCGGGGGTTGGGGTGGGGGGGTGAGGGAGAAGGTGAGGGGGCAGGAAGCTGCCGGCGCACCTGAAAGCGGGCGTATCCAGCAGGCCGCCCTCGTCGTCGCCGCCGCCGCCGCGACCGCCGCCGTGCGGCCGCGAGAAGCAGCACAGCACGCGATTCAGGCAGCCCACCCTGCGGCGGCGGGCGGGGCGGCGCGGTGGGCGTCGGGGCCGGGCGCCGCGCTGTGCGCGGGGCCCGCGCGCTTCCTTGGCATACCCACTGATCAACGCGCCGCCGCAGCATTGTTTGGTGCAAGATCACCGCTGGGATGGCGCCAACACGTTGGCACAAACACGGCTTGGCAGTGGCCGAAGCGCATGCCCCGCTGCTGCCGACGCGCGCACACCTGTCTGCCCACCCCTGGAGGTTCTGGTCCGGGTACACATTGTACAGCAGCACCACCTGAGTTAGCGCGCAGTCAGCGACAGTGCGGCAACCCGCGTCAGCCGCAAGGGGATGCTCGCGCCCTCGACAGCAAACCAGCCGCCCAGCCTCCTGCCCAATCCGCCCTAACCCCATTTTGCGCATTGCCATCCCGCAGCCCCGCATGCCGGCGCTGCTGCTGCCCAAGCGCCGCATGCCGGCGCTGCTGCTGCCCAGGCGCCGCATGCGGCGAGCTCCTGTCCGCCGCCGGCCCAACCCTTGACAAAAAGGAAGTGGAGAGGGAAGCGCCAGGTGACGCCCACCCACCAGCAGCGCCATGACCAGCAGCGCCGACCAAGTGGAAGCGATGAGGGCCGTCGCCAGCACGCCGTCGTTGATGCCGCGGTCGAGGCGGCACGGGTCGAGCATGCCGCCCACGGGGTCCGGCTGGCCGGCCGCGCCAAACTGCGGGGGGCGCGGGGGTGTCCACCGGTCGTCGGAGGGGGCTGTTGGGCTGCCGGCCCGCGGCCTCACGCTGCGCGCCGCGCTGCAACGCCCTCAAGTTGGCTGCCGACGGCGCCTCTCCCAGCGGAATCCCCCACAGCCCACCGGATCCAACGGCAAGAGAGACGCAGTCTCCACCGCCCCCTTGCCGCCCGCAAGCCCAGGGGTCATCGCGTCATGCAGCCCCGCCCTCCGCACCCTCGCACCCGGGAGCCGCCGCACGCGCGTTTTGTGCGCCCCCCTAGCGCGCCGCCCGCCGCCGTCGAGCCCGCGCGTGCGCGCGCTCTCACCCGCGTGACCCACACCGCCGTCGCAAACACAAGAGCCGCGAGCTCCAGCAGCCAGCAGGCCAGGCACGCCGCGGCCGCGGCCGGCACTCGGCGCCGCAGGTGTTCGTCCATGATGCTGCCTGCGGTTTGGATTGACCCAGGCAGACCAAACAACTCCAGACCCGCAATGCTGGGAAGCTCTAGGCTGACTTGATTTCAGTGCAGACGGCGGCACGCAGGCCATCCTTGCTCAGCTGGCAGGGGCGACGGGGGTGCAGGTGCAGCGTGCTCGGTGGAGCAGCGCGCGGCCGCTCACCCTTCAGCGACTCCGCCAACAGCCATGCCTGCATGCAGGCCGTGAGGAAGAAGCTGGCGAGAAGCAGGTAGGTGGAGGACTCCGCCCATGCCCTATGGGGCGGGGCGGTGGTGGGCGGAGTGTGGCGCGCGATCGGGTTCTGATTTAGGCCCGTGCGTGTGGGGCTGTGTTCAACGATTGCAGTGACCCACGGCTCTTTGTAGCCCGCTTGTCTGCCGGCAACGCCCCTGTCATGCACAGCGCTCTCTCCAGCTTCGCCGGGCGCGCTGCTGCATTCGCTCGGCAGCGCAGCTGGCATCCCCGGCGCCGCGAGTTCAGTGCGGGGGGTGGCGCCGCACCTCTGGGCGCACGAAACGGGCGGCCCCTCGACGAGGAACTGCACCAGGATCAGCACGCACCAGCCGCCGTGGAACAGCAGGCCGGCCGCAGCCGGCAGCGGCAGGTCTGGCGGCGCGCAGCGCACAGGCCGTGTGGGGTGATGCGACTTGCTGCGCCGCGGACCTTTGCATCGCCGGGTCTCACGCCAACGTTGGTGGTGCAACGCACGGACCTTGGCAACCCCTCAGCGCGAGTCCTTCATAATTTTGTGCTCATTCCAAACAGCAAGACGCTCACCATCTGACGAGATATGCCACCGCTGGAACTTGCGGCCACCCCCCTCAAAATGCAGCGGCGGCATCTTGTGATGCAACAACACAACCGCTTTCAATTAGGCTATTCCATCCCTTCAGCGGATTCGATCGAGCCGGATCGCTTGAGCACTCCACGTTTCAATGGCAATGTGAATCGCGCGGGCCGAACGAGTCAAACCAAGAAAGAAAGCGCAATAAGAGAGTCAAGAGGTAGTCAAGCGGCCTGGTGCATATCCCGTTGCTGGAGCACCCCGCGAAGCGAGCTGCTGCCCAACTGCCCCTGGCGTGTTTTTCTAGCGATTCACATTAGCCTCAGCCGCTATAAGTGAAGCGGCCTCCTCATTGGTGCAAATGAGATTTCAGAGTGAACACTCACATAGAAGCAGGGGCAGTTGCTGATGCGCGGCCAGACATCAAACCTGCAACTGTGCAGCGAGCTGGAGCCGCCTTGACAGTCCAGGATGCATCCCCGTGTGCTCCCGTCCCACTGAAGCAGATAAGACGATCTGTGATTGTTTTTTAGGTACGTCCAAACCGGCATGAAATGTCGGCCGAAGCGGCTAGAGGCGAGCAGCCCACAACCGCCTGGTGCCCAACGCAGCAAAAGCATGACCCCGCACGCAGTCCGCTTTGGTGTACGTGCCTAGATGCTCGAATCAATCAAACGTCAGAATTCCAACAATATCAATGATGTGGGTACAAGGGAGCGCACAGCCTCGGGAGCTGAGGCTCAGTCGGCGGCTCGTGGCAACCAGCTGCCGCCGGCTCATCCGCCGGGCCATGCCAGCCTCCCCCCAGCTACCATCCCCATCCGTCTTCCGGAAATAGAACCAAACTTAATGCTGCAACATGTGATGAATTCAAGTATAATTTGCGCTGACTGCTTCCAAGCGAGTGCTTCGCAACCACCGCAACCTCTTACCACGGCGAGCGCACGCTCGCATGCACTCCGCATCAAGACGCACAACAATGGCTACTAACAGCCGTTTTGTGCCGCGTGTCGTGCTCTGCCTGGCTGTGCTCTTGGTGGCGGGCGCATGGGCCGGCGGCGACCCCGAGGAGGGCGCGCCTGTTGCCCCTGACGGAGCCGTCCCATATGATTTTGTGACGGCCGTATCAGCAGCCATCGCCGTTCCTGACCCCGTCACTTCTCACAACACCTTTGGGGCTGTGCAAGTCCCGACCAGCAATTGCGCCGATGGGAGCGCATACGTGAACTGCCTTCACGATCCCTGCCTCGCAGCCCCAGCCTGCGACGCCGGCTACATGTGCAAGAGCAGCTACTGTGAGCGGGGCCCTGCGCCCTGTTCTTTGCTTGGAGTTCCAGTGCGCCGCACGTGGCTCCTGGGCGCACGAACTGGGTGCGCCCTGATGCCCGCGCCAGTGCCAAAGGACTCCCGTCCCTTCGCTCGACGTCGCACCTGACGCCATCACCTCACCCAGAACCCAGCCCCGCTCTCGCCCCGCCCGCGTCGCCCCCAGGCGGCGGATGCAACGCAGCGTGCGTCCCCCTGCCGCCCTCGCCGGCCCCAGTTTCGATGGAGTCGGGGCCCGCTCCGGCCGACACTGCCTGCCCGGCTGGGTCTGTGTACAGCGTGCGCGGGGGCGCCTGCAAGGTCTGCGGCGCCGGCACGTACGCCGACCAGGAGCAGAAGGTGCGCGCGCCCGTGTGTGGGTTTTGGGCTGCTGGCAGAGGGTGCGGTGCACTGTACACTGCTGGCAGCAGCAGGGGCATGCTTACACCCGGGGCTTGCGGCGTTCTTGCCATGTGCCAGCGAAATAGAAACTGTCCAACTGTTCCTCTGCCAGGCGGCACGTGTCCGCCATACCGAGCTCAAATTTCACGACTGCACCCTACCCCTCCTCTCGGCAGGCTTGCCGCTCATGTGCGGCTGGCCAGTACTCGTCAAGGGCCTCGGCTGCCTGCACGCCCTGCGCTGCGGGCACCTTTGCTCCGATGCGGGGCATGCGCTTCTGCACACCCTGCCCGTACAAGGTGTGTGCTGCGAATTTCAGCACGTGCTGCCGTCTGCCTGTTGCCGCGCAAACCACATCGATGGTCTTCACTTGCAGTGCAGCGTGCGAGACGTGTGCCCCCTACGTTCATACCACCCCCTGCTGATCCACCATCAAATAAACTCGCTTTTGAACCCTCGCTTAATGACGTCACCACAACAGGTCATGACAAGCAACCCGGGATCGTCCAAGTGCACGTTTGCATCTTTTAGGAAGGCCACCACCACTGCCTAGCCGGCAGCCCCACGGCAGCGGCGGCGGCCTCGCTTCGTTGCTTGTCGTACGGAACTGAATGTATTCATGGCACCAGTCGCGTGCCGCGCATGGTTGTATTTTGGTTGTTGCAAAACGGTATAGAGGCCGCCTTGTGTGGTAAGCTGGCAGGCGTAGGCTGACTTCTTTGGCGTGTGCAGTTTGTGCAGTGGGATGTGAGAGGATGTAAGCGGACCAGGCGCCTGCCGTGCGCCGCCCCCGCCCCTTCTATCATAAGCTGTAACAAAGGGTGGTTGTGGGTGAAGCCTCTCAGTGCTTCGTGTGCTTCCGAGATGTGGAGCTAGGCAGGCGGCCGCCTGTGCGTGTGTGTGAAACGGGTCTAGCCCTCCGTCCACATGAAGCCTTGCTGCAGTCGCAGCTATGCTCAGTTGCGGTTGTGCTTGAGTGGCAGGCCTTGACTTCAACACTGCGACAGCACCGTACCCTGGCTGGGCCTGTGTCGCATCAACAGATGCGGTCAACTCATCAACAGGTTTATGTAACCCCTCTGAGATTGGGAGTGGGAGCAAACCAGTCTAAGCCTACGCTGCAACCAAAGTCTTACATCAAAACAAATATTGCTGCCTCCGACGAGCGGTGGTGTAGATCTTCCGCATTGTGCGCGCGCTGGGTCCCACGCAGTCGGTGCCGGAGCTTGAGCTGTGCTTAAGTTCTAGAAAAAGCGGCTTATTAGCCACTCGCCGCTCCAGGGTCTTCTGTCGTTAGCGCTGCAGGCTGGGCAGCGCGTCACCACACTAGGGCGCTCCTGGCGCTTATGCTCGTGCATGCCTGGCAGGCGCCCCTCGCCAGCCGCTGCCCCCTGAGCAGCGAGCCCCTCGCATGCGCATGACCACAAGTATGGATGTCATGTCGCTGCTGGACCTGCCGTCGTCAGCACTCGTGGCAGTCCTCGGTCATGCGTGCCCGCGCTCCGCCCTCGCGCTGCGGCTGGCGTGCCGCCAGCTCCGCGCCGTGGTCGACGCCGCATTGCAGCGCCGCGTCTGCGTCGGCGGCCTGCCTGGCAATCTGCGGGCCGACGTGGTCGCGCCGCGCTTCCCGCGGGCCCAAGAGGTTGTGCTCTGCGGCCTCGCCGCCGCGGACCTGCCCGGCAGCTGCGCAGAGGGCGGCCCCGCGGGCGGCGCGCCGCAGGAGCCGCTGCAGCGGATCTTATCTGAGCTCGCCCTGCTGGATGACGGCGCCTGGGGCGGCATCGCCCGCATCGCCGGCTGCCCGCCCAGCGCGCCGCTGCTGCGCCTGCTTGCTGCCGCCGCGCCGCGGCTGGAGGCGCTGCAGGTCAGCGGCGCCGGCGGGCTCGCCAGCAGCGGCGGCCGCGGCGCCGGCCCGGGCGCGGCCGCCTGCGAAGCCGCGCTGCAGGCACTGCTGCCCCTGGCGCCCACTCTGACGGAGCTGACCTGGCACGGCTTCGCGTGCGGCGCGCCCGCCCGCGGCGGCGGCGCGACGGCTGCCCTGGCCGCGCTCACCTCGCTGCGGCGCCTGCGGCTGCGCACGGCACCGGACGCTGGCAGGGCGGCGCGGGCACTGGAGGCAGCACTGGGCCGCCTCACCGCGCTGACGCACCTGTCACTGGAGGTGAGGCAGGACGTGCTCGCCCATCCTGTACGCGCTTGCTGCCGTTCCCGCCAACTGCTGCCGTTCCCGCAACCCTCCTCCTGGCCTCAGGGCTGCCTGCTTCATCCTGCCCGCTGCACCCACGTTTGTTTTTTGGATTCCGGCGGCCCTCTGTAGCTGATTTCAACACCCACACGCAACGGATGTGAGGAGCCTGTCGCCCCGCACACGTCGCCGCCACGCGCGCCGGTCACGGGCCACGTCTGCGGCGGCCGAGGAGACTGTTATGTCACTCTTACGCTGCCCTGGCCGTCTGCGCAGGTCGGGCACGAGTCTCTAGAGCAGGACGACTGGGGCCGCCTGTGGTGAGTCATGGGGGGCATGTCTTTTAAGGGGCGGGCACCGCCGCGAGCAGCCAGGCGGCCTCTCCTTCTCTCCCTGGCTCCCCCCCATCGGCCAGCGCCGGAGCGCCCGCCCAGGGGCGCCATGCGTGATCCGCGCCCGCCGCATGAAGCAGCCACAGCACTCAGCCAACAGGCGGCTTCGCATGTTACCCGCCTGCGTGTCCTCCTCGCAAAACCCCGCACCCTCGCTGTCCCCCCACATGGCCGCTGCAGCCCGGCGCTCGCACCGCTGACGAGCCTCCGGGAGCTCGGGCTGTGCTGGGAGGGCGCGGCCGACGCGCTTGCCGCGGCGGCCGGGGCGGCGCCGCCGGTCCGGCTGGCGGGGGTCACTCGGCTGGAGCTGGCGGAGCAAGGGTGGGGCGCCGGTCACAAAGAGCGCACGCATCGCGCGTGGGACGCTCTTTTTCTTCCCCCTTATGGCGTGTCAACCTGCAGTTGCTTGTCATCCTGC